CTTTTACCTTGGCTCTGTGTTTCTTATTTTAATAATACGATTGGTTACATCTACAGAAACCACCCTCCAGAGCAGACCTCATGCCCAAGAATAGTTGGCCAACAGAAAACAAACTCCATGACTTTCTTGAGAACTTTTTGTTTCATTTATTTGATCTGTTACGTTTTTATCTTGTTTGTTTTGATTTTGATGTTTGTGTGCAGTTTTTTGTTTTTGTTTTTGTTTTTGAGAGATAGACAGAGAGCATCCATTTAAAATAATAATCATAATAATAATCACAGTAATAATAATATATAGAAATGCTTTGCGGAAACAAAGAAGATTATTTAAATAAAACGTATATTATTCAAACTAGACTAAACTATTGGGAATCAATTTTCAAAAAGTGGGGAAAATGGGAAATGTGAAAATACTGATCACAAAAAATAATATAGAATTTTTTGCAAGTGTGAAAAATAGCCAAAAAGAATGAGAAACGAGTATCTAGGAAATGGGATTAGATACATGTTGTTATGCTTGTAGTTCTAACCAATGAATAAATGTGAATATATTGAAAGGGGTAAAAGCTGCATTTCCGTTAACTTGCTGGATTCTTTTTTTTTATGTTTGCAGAAAATATTTTTGAGTATATGAATCACAGTGGCCTAAAACAATAAAGATTAGCCCGCATCATTCTAACAAATCCTTAAATTGAGGACATGATCCACCACACCTATTCCTTACTATAAAGATTTCTCAGCCTAGACTGGTCCAGGGCTCCAGTTATTGTTTGGATTCAGTATGTAACTGAGACTATGAGTCCTCCCATGTGTCCAGATCCTCACCTATCCATTGCCAGAACTGGTCATAAGATGGATATATGTATTGAGCATCATCTGGTCCTTGTGCTGCAGCTGTGGTGGGAACTGGAGCTTCCACAGAGGCTGGCCCTTCAGCCACTGATGGGTCAGGCTGAACTTCAACTACTGTGGGTTGACCAGGGTCAGGAGCTACAGCTTCAAGGAAGTCCTCTTGGGGAATACACCCAGCATCCTCTCTGTCTTGATCATCATGGAGAGAAGCCTCCAGGCTGGGGTTGAGTTTGGGAATGGAGGCCACAGTAGATATGCCTGGAGATTTGGACTCTACCTTGTCAGAGGTAAGGACAGATAATGGGAATGGGTAAACCCATGTTTTGCTGATTCTTCTGTTGCATTCAATTTTTTGATGATTCTTCTGTTGTTCTTAACACGTTTATTTTTGAACCAGGTCTGGATCTCACACTTGGTCACGTTCATCTTTTGTGCCAGTGCCTCACATTGCTGCGCCCTTGGATGGCTGTTCTAATCAAAATACTTTTGGAGGAGGAGCTTTTATTCCTCAGAGTACACAGTGCGTTCCTTCCGTTGAATCTTTGTAGGCTTAGGACGGACTTCCTAGTCACCATAGCTATCTGAAGGCACCATAAGACCTAGGGAACCCCCATAACCAGAACTCACAGAGGAACTTGAGGGCCTCTGGTCACTAGGGCACACTGATACAGTTTCCAGTGTTGGAATTGCATTGGAATTCCTGGGTACATTAGGGGATTTTGAGACATTTGCAGACTTGAGTTGCTTATAGGCTCTTGGGGAATCTGGATAGCTGTTTTCAGAGGTGCAAATGAAGGCAGTTTGAAATGTGAATGCGAGGGAGGAACTTAGGGAATATGCAGCCTTAAGTTTCTAGAAATTTCTGGGTCTTCCAAAAATACTGCACTGGTGGACATGAAAACATACTGGGATAAGATCCTCTTGGTGCAAGTTCATGTACTGAAGAACCTGAATATCAGCTGGCTCTCCCATCTTGACCAGATCCTTGCTGGTGGTACAACTTGCTGGATTCTTAGTATCACCTTCAAATATTTACAGAAGAGAACACATCAAAACACCCATTTTTTATTTTTCTCCAGGATGAGAGGATTTAGAAGACATTTAGCCATGAGGAACCACACTTCTCCCTCTCCCTCTCCCTCTCCTCCCTCTCCCTCTCCCTCTCCCTCT